TAGTATATATGACATTAAAAATTTACTGTGTTGTTTCACTATCCAGTGGAATTTAAATACTATAGTAATTTGTTACCATCAACCATTAAAAAATGGTATACACACACACACACATGCTTTTCTTTAATAGTTGGAAATTTTACTGCATTCTTTTTTATTCTCATATTTTCATTCCATTTTCCCCAAAGAATTTTATCCCAAATAACTGTTGTGCTTTAAAATTTTTTTGATCATTCTATAATATAATAGAATATATTCTAATAGAATATGTTATGATAGAATTTATAATAAATTTCTGCAACAAAATTATCTGTAATTTTAATTTTAATTTTTAAAATTTCTTGTGTCTACAAAGATCAAAATATTGAAACTTTTTTTCTGGTTTGGGTTAGCATTTATGATTATTATTAGTACACAGTCCATAAATTCACATTACAAATTTTGATAAAATTATTTTTATTAAACTTTAAAAGTAGTTATTTTAGAAATTCATCTCAATAAAAAGTGTAAAATTATGTGTTTTTCAATTAATTTATATATCAATGGATAAATTTTTTTATTGCTAAAGTAAAGCAGTGTTTAGCATAAATTCCATTATTACTTTTTGTGTCTATAGACATAAGTGTTGAAAATCTTGTTTTCATAAATAAGTAGATAGAAATGGAAGGACCAAGTCATTCAATTCCATGGGCCATTTCCAAGTTATAGCCAAAGAGCATATAAAATTAATCATCAAATATAATTTCATGATCTATCAGCTAATTGGGCCCTTTTTATTTAGTTAGTTTTTTGGGTTTTGGTTTTTGGGGTTTTTTTGCAGCTGTCAAGCTTGGGGCTCCAAACTCCTTTTTAAATTTTGTTGAATAAAAGAACTTGCATTGCAAAAGAATTTGTTATCCAGTTGTTACAATCATTCCCTCACTTACTTTCTGGGCAGTATACAAAAATGCTTTACTAAGACTTAACAAGACTATTAAATAAATTGTTGAATCTTTCACTTACAGGCACCTTGCTTAAACCTAATATACTCAGAATGTGTTGGGAGAATTGAAATATTATTAATTTTATTCATTTTCACATATATAATAAAATTCTTCTATCTTATCATATGCTCTATCTTTATCAAACTATTGGAGCTCAGATTTAGCTTGTTATCTTGTTCAATTCATACAAAACGGCTGCAATAACCTAATGGGCAAATCCAGTCCTCACTGTCAAAGTAATATTCTAAATCAGACTCACTTTCTATATGACTTAATTTTGCAATTCCAATAAGTACCTTAATACTCATTCCTGTAACATCTATCTCATATCCAAATTCCCATGCCACTGTGGATTGAATATCCCCCCAAAGCTCATTGAAACTTAATCTCCACTGTGACAGTGTTACGAGAGCAGGAAATCTTATTACAGTAATTGAAAAGTGGGGCCTTGAAGAGGTGATTAG